TACTTCAGGCTCTGACAGATTTACTGAAAGGCAAGTGCCGAAATTTTGAGCCAACAGCAGAGGGTACTGTGACAATCGATAAGCTCAAGCATGCGTTATCCAACGCCACCGCGTGTAGCCGCATTGTAACGCATGTTTATAGACTTCTCGTTCTGGGACGGAAGCATCACAAGACCCGCCGTTGGCGCCGGTTAACCGCAGCTGCTAAACAACCAACGTGAATCTTTGTCTTTGGTCTCCAAAAAGCTTTAGGTTACTCAAACTCGATACAGCACATTCGGTCGAGAACATCTGGCCAGGTACCTATGAGCATGTACGTATAAAAACATGGAAGGAGGAGAGGACATAACGTTGGCATGGTAACACCATTGCTACGAGTAGACTTTGATAAAAATTGGGAGCACAAGCGCTCCGCTTAACGAAAAAGGCATCATGCCAGGACATGCAGTCAGCAAGCTACTTATCAGCTGTTAGGTATGCATTTCATCCGATGACTGTTGCACATATTCACGTTAGCCGTATGCGTTCCACTGAGAAAACGTTCACAGTATGATTTAGGCCCCTTACCCGTTATGTTGCATGGAAAGCAGCAGCAACACAGGGGTAAAATGAGAAATCCTTTTCGACTGATTGTGATGGCGAAAGAAATTATGGTATTCGTATTGAACTGGAAGAGTATGCCATAAGGAAGGCCTGCAGGGAACTTAGCTGCGTTAGTTATAGCATACCTGAACAGTTGGTATTGCCAATCAAACCATCCGAAACCAACAGTTGAACGCATCGTCCCCATCATAATCACTGCAGGATTGGTGCAACCATCCTTCGCATTAGTCACAATCCACCCAAGCAACAGTGTACCTGTTACTCTGTGTGTCCTCCGAAAGCATACATGTGGCGCATTTGTCCCGGTGCAACTCCGTCGATCCGGGAGAAGCACCCCGCTCCAGAGAACCGCGCTTGTGACCCTGGAGCTTTTGATCTTCAGCGTTCGGAAACATGCACCGGGCGGCCATGTATCCGTAATCGACACCTCCGTCCGTCTCAGTACTAATGGAGATTTACGCCTTCCGGAATGTGCATTGGAGCACGTACCCTTTTCCCTTGCCGTGTTCTCCGTCCCTTTCCCTCCCACAGGACGACAAGGAACAATTGAGGACGTCCCCTTTTTCCCAACCGATGACAACATGTCTTCCTCGTTATCCAAAGGTAAAGACGAGTTGCAGTGCTTGGTCTCGCAGAAAAATCGCACATCATTTTCCTGCATCAACTCCTCGCACAAGCGCCTCAAAGGGGTTATCACGCGCAGAACTTTCTTTTCTGCCATAGTGCAGATGTGGGTTTTTATTTCTGCAAGCACCTACTCTGCCATGCGCAACTTCGGGGCCCGATCCAAAATAACCGGCGGTGAACTGGTTGCCGCTTCAAACACACTCATCTCGGCCGCCTCCATGAAATCAATGGTACCTATGGTACCTATGGTACCTATGGGGAATCAGGTATTCCCCACCGACAACCCTGAAACAATAAAGCCAAATATGTACCTGGTCACACGCGGTTTAGCACATGTGTGCGCCTGGCATCCTCCAATAATTCTGAAACTCAGCTTCACATCCGGCACTACGTACCAAGAATATACGCTTACCGGTACGCCGCTTGCATTCCACCGCCATAACCGTACCCGCAGGACGACAGCCCATTATCTCCTCCGGTGACCAGTGCTTACTGAACTGCTCCGGGGGCGTACGGCATTAAGCGCACAAGTACGCAGCTGAGCCGACATACGTTCACGGGAGGAACGTACGGGATCAACTGGCATCTCGATAATTTCGTCCGCCTACCTTCCATAAACCTATGCACACGATCCACAACCACAGTGAACAAACGAAGTACGGAGGACCTCTCACTAAGTTGCCGCCTCAGCTGCATGTTCCCGTTCTTCACGCTGTTTGTTGTGAAGCAACCAAATATGCGCCAGTCCGCAATCGATGCGTTGCCCATGATGACGAAAAGGGCAACCAAGTCCGCATCAAGTTCGCATAGCATTCCGCATTTGGCACCTCTGCAGTAGTTTACCAAAATAACCCTCATCTCCGGTATACATCAGTTTATGCAACCACTGACGTAGAAGTGTTCTAAACTCCGGTGCCGCGGCATGCAGGCGTGAGCAACGTTTAGCCACCTCTCCCACTGCATGACATCGACACATTACCAGAAGCGCATGGGGGTACAAAGATTGAAATGCACCCACTTGAGCCGCACATTTATCCAAGACTATCGTCCGTGCCATGTATGTGGCAGGAACCATCCCAAGCATCGACTCCGCCGCTTCCTTGTAACTGTCCGAGGCCTCACTCGGCAATGAAGCATATAAAAAGACATTGCAACGCCAGTTATGTCCACCAACATGCAGTGCCACAGGAGATATCCCCGCAGTTGATTTGGTGCTTTGCGTCCACCAACAACACCGCACAGTATTGCTACACCAATCCTTCCATGCATGAGGGCGCAAAAGACACCGACCTCCTTTGATCATCATTCCTATTCACTCGCCACTTGCCATGCCGTTCCGACAGACGAACCACCTCAAACACATCTTCCTGTTTTAAGCGTGTGTCGCGGCCTCATGTACCAAAGTTGGCCTTCGTCATCCGTCGTCCATAAGTCCTACACACATCAGTCCGCATTTCACGGCTTCCCTTAAATGTGTCCATCAACGAACCCACCTCAGACTCTTGCTCAGCAGTCAAACGTCGGCTGCTGGGATACAGCCATGGCTAACCAATTTGAAAACTATGGGTGTGCTCATACCGCTCATACTGTTGCCCTCTCAAACTGTATGAGAACCTCACACGACAGCCGCAAGCACGAAATCTCTGAAATGAATGATCAATTTTCCAATTTACATAAAACCGTTACCACACTGTTTCATCACGTGTGGAATGTACGGACCGAAATTGTACATACCGGTACGGAAAGCCTTCAGCGACCTCCTCTTCACTTTGCTTCTCATGCTGTTGCTTTGAAAAAACTAGGCAGTCACAAATTGGAATTTGCGAACTGCTTCCTCCACTTCCTCCCAGCTTTTACAGCGATCGCAGACCAAACGGCAAAACACAGTAGCGTCCAATATAACGCTCGATAACCAATTAGACCTCCTAAGATTAAAGTCATTTAAAACTGCGTGAGATTCGCTACTATTACACCTTATCAAATACCATTTCTTGTAGATAATTGTGCACTAGACGACACATACATCGTTTTCAAGTTATTGGAAAAGTTCGTGAGGGAAGTTCTCGAAGGACACTTGAAAGCGTTTGAGTTGCTTGATCCTTCTCAGCACGGCTTTCGTAAGGGGTATCCTTGACTTACTAACTTGTTAACCGCTCGTGAACACTGGGCCGATGCCATCGATTGAGGGAAGGCAGTGGACGTGCTGTTCATTAACTTTTCCAAAGCTTTTGACACCGTTGCACATTCGCGCCTTTTGTACAAGTTGAATTCATGTGGTATTTCTGGACCAGTCTTACGATGGATTTCAGCTTTCTTACTCGGAAGGGAAATGTGTGTGCGGTGGGTTCAAGCCTGTCCCTCCACCAATGTGTTTTCAGTGGCGTTCCGCAAGGTTCGGTTCTTGGCCCACTTCTCTTCCCTTTATACGTTAATGACCTATCTGATGAATTGGATGTGCCATCCCTAATGTTTGCGGATGACTTGAAAATCTGGTTCACGATAGACGAACCGATTTTTCCACGGACCCTACAGGGGGCTCTGGATAGACTCTGGGACTGATCAATTTTGTGGCAGTTGCCCGTTAATTTAACGAAATGTTCCGTTTTACGTGTTGGTCCAAATGACCCGCTGACGCGTTATTTGCTTGGCGGCAACAAGGTACCGCGAGTTCAACTCCAATCTGACCTCGGTGTTTTGCTGTCATCCGACTTTAAGTCCAGTGAACACTGGAAGACAGCTGCTCGCAAAGGTTTCAACATGTTGTAGATGATCCGCAGGTCATTCGGGATCATGACCACCGACATGTTCGTTGGACTATTTTCGGCTTTTGTAAGGCCGTACTTGGAATATTACCTTCAGGCTTGTTCTCCATGCCTGATTCCTGATAAGATGACAGTTGAACGAGTCCTGTGGTCGGGGACGAAAATGGTGCACTGATTGAAGAAGCTGAAGTACCCGGAGAGGCTACGTAAGTTGAATATGTTTGCCATGTATTACAGGCGGCTTGGGGGCGACTTGGCCCTCACATACCGTATATTGATGGGTCAGATTGGTCCTGATTTGACTGGACTGTTTCGCCCAACTCGAGAGCCAACCCTTCGTGGTCAACCATTAAAGTTACACCAACCCCGGTCCGACCGGGTCTGGGCGGGTTTTCGGTTATCGCGTAGGGTCATAGCTTATTGGAACGCATGGCCTGCAGACGTCGTGATGGCACCGACGGTGAAAGAGTTCGAGCATCGACTTGACGCTCTCGGTCTGCAATTTAAAGTCTTCCTCTTCATGTCTTAAACTTTTCTTCGTCTACTACGGCCTACGCTTCTTTAACTCATTTTAACTTGCATCTTAGTATTGCCAACGAAATTCGATAAGTTTGTCTTCTCCTCTGTTTCCTTTACGGACGCTATTGTTTTCGTTTATTCTCCACGTGTCCGGCACATCGAGGACTGCTAGTGCCGGGCACGTGTGCATTGTTTGGTTGATCATGTGAATCGTGTGTGTTGATTTGGCTCTCCTTTGGCACATCAAGACACCTGTTTCCCTTTTGGATCAACGACGTTTTCAAAGGTGGAACATTCGCGGGATTTTCCTACAGTTCCGGTCCCACTTGAACTTAAACTTACCTTATATCCAGTTTTGAAAGCCTAACCCTTTAGCCTGGCGTACCGGAACACAAAGCCTCTCCAGAATAATATTTCCGTACAAAAATTAGCCACTCCCTCGGACTGGTGGAACGCCACCCTTTTAGACCGATTGTTTACGCGCTCCGGATGACCTCTCGGTGGGGATGGTTTTGTCTCTGGTTGTTCATTGCATCGCATCGAAATGCTCATATTATATAATTGCATATGTACCTTTTCTATAGTGATACTCGCTTCTCCGTCTTTGTTGGCAACTTGCCACCGAATACCATCCAGGCTCATTTCGATTATATATTTCCTAATTGCAAGGTTAAAGCATTATGTTACACCAACTTTGATCAGGTGTCAAGCGTGCGATTGGTTAGAGACAAAGAAACCGATGCCTTTAAGGGTTTTGCTTACGTGGATTTTGATGATGAAGCATCGCTTCAAGCTGCTTTAATGATCGACGGAAGCGTACGTGACATGCATAATACGTTATATTGTTTCAGATAATCGAAGGACGCCAATTAAGAGTCAACCACGCCCATGACAGACGTGGTTCTCGGAGTAAGTCGATCCCTTCACGCCCACCTCCGAAGTTATCATAAGTATCCGATTCATTTTGAGTTTTGTCAAGCGCTATCTCCTTAATTTTATCATTGCTCCTTTGCACGTCAGCTGTACATTGCTGTGTCACGATGTAACCTTACATGCTTGTGGTTCTCTTATGGGCCAGGTGTAGGCGGATGATGCCTTGTGGTGTTATCGAACGGCACGGAACAAGTGTAAGCAGCACCTAAGGGATGCCAGGCTACGTTACGAACTGGAGCTAGCAAACAGCTTCAAGCAATCCGAAGCATTTTTCGCCTTTGTTAGAAGACAATGCCGTGCGGATCCATCCATCCGGTGTTGCACGGACCTAATGGGGTTGTTGCGCATACCGTCTTCTCGGCGAGCAGTATGCGAAAACGTTTACTCTCCAGTCTCCTTTACCACCTATCGATTTGGATGAAAATTCCGGCATACTCCTTGTTGACTGATATCATCGTGTCAAAGGCCCAAGTGCGTTCACTGCTGCGAGAACTGAACCATACCAAAGCCGCTGGTGTTGATGCCATTCCTCAAAATTGTTATATGAACTGGCAAATGAAATTTGTGAGCCCATAACTTGCCTGTTTGAGAATTCCCTTACCAGTTGCACCTTACCCACCGACTAGAAAAACGCTGTAGTTTGCCCCATCTTTAAAAAGGGAGATAAGCATCTTCTAGTAAACTACAGGCTTATCAGTCTAACCAGTGTGCTGGTTAAGTTGCTAGAAAAACTTGTAAGGGATGCCCTCAAAAACCATTTAAAGATGTCTGACCTTCTCAGCCCGTCAACATGGTATTCGCGAAGGGTACTCCTGCCTGACCAACTTGATGGTTGCTCGGGAAAGTTGTGCGCTCTGTTTATCGGGGTCAGTCAGTGGATGTGCTATTCATTGACTTCTCCAAAGCGTTTGTCTATCTTGCATACTCGTCTTTTCCTTAAGCTCTGTTCCTACGGAGTTTCTGGGCGCGCGCTTCGATGGCTATCCGCATTTCTCGAAGTGAGATGTGTGTTCGGGTGGGCTCCTCTTTCCGACAAGCAGTTCTGAGCGGTGTGCCGCAGGGATCAGTTCTTGGTCCACTGCTATTTGCTATGTACGTAAATGAACTGCCAGAAGTGCTGGGGCTGCCTACACTCATGTTCGCCGACGACTTGAAGTTTTAATGCATAGTGAGCGACCCGATATCTTTTAACTCCTGCAACAGAATCTTGACAGACTCCTCGATTGGTCCGTTCTGTGGCAGATGCCAATAAACTACAGCAAGTGCTAAGGTTTGCGCATAGGATCAAATGGCCCGACAACAAATTACATGCTTGGCGATAATGAAATTCCTCACGTATCCCAACAAATTGACTTAGGAATCACTTTATCTCAGGACTTTAAATCCAGTGCGAACTGGAAGAAAGCGTCTTGCAGGGGTTTTCGAACCCTCTGGTTGATCCGTAGATCATTTGGGATCTCAACTGAACAATTGTTTGTTAAATTGTTTACGGCCTTTATTAGACCGCACCTGGAGTATTGCTTCCAGGCTTATCCTCCTTGCTTGACTCTTGTCATGATGGCGTTAGAGCGGGTCTTGAGAATCGGAACCAAACTAGTCAACGGGTTGCGGCACCTGTCCTATTCTGACAGGTTGCTTAAGCTAAGGATGTGTTCGTTACATTCTCGTCGGTTTCGTGGCGACCTGATTCTCACTTATCGTATACTGGCAGAGCGGATAGGCCCAGATCTTTCTTGGCCTTTTCATCCTACACAGTTACGTACTCTCCGCGGGCATCCGATGAAATTGCACAAGCTCAGATCTGATCGGGTTCGGGCTGACACTCGTTTGTCACACCGTGATAGATTCTTGGAACGCGCTACCTGAGGACGTAGTCTTGTCATTTACGGTGACGGAGTTTAAACGTCGCCTCGACGCCCTCAACTTGCAGCTCCGAATCCCTCCCTTTCTTAATTTATTTTATGTTTGCTCTTTAGCTATCTTCCTTTTTATTCACTTACTAACTTCCTCTTCATTGTCCTTTTTCTTATCCTTCCGCTTTATATCTAGCCTATGCTTTTCTTTTCCTTTTTTATTTCACGCGGTCGGCGCAGCGGGGACTGCTAACGAAGGACACGTGCGTTTTGTTTGTTTGAACTTGATTTGATTTGTACGTGCTGATTTGGTTCCCACAAATGCCCGATCTTGCCACCGCATTCTAACGTGGATGAACGACGCATACAGGGTGGACCAACCATGGGAATTTCCTTTTGTTCCTGTCCCACTTAAATTTGTTTTACAAATATTGACTCCAGAGACGATGCAGACTTTCACCTGTTTTGTACGATGTTTATGTTATTATGCCGATATGGTCATCTAGCTCTACATTTGCCTAGCTTACTCGCAATTGCAAAGGATGGTTACCGCAAGGCTCATCCCGGTTTACGAGATGTGCCATATGAAGACCGGTGCAAGAGACTAGAGTTATACACCCTTTCCCATCGTCGAATGCGGGTTGACCTTATCATGATGCACTGCATATTACATCTAGGTGATTACCCCATGTTGAAGCCGCTGCTACATCTGCGCACCCCAAGCAGCATATTGCTACAGATCGGTCAACAGGCAGCACTTGCCCGAACATTAGAGACCCCATCGATCGATGTCTGCTGCTTATCGGAGACACGCCTGCAAGACTCGAGCTCTGTGCTCACTTTGCGCTCCCCTTCAGGTGACACCAGCAGCACTTTCTCATTGCGCCCATCCGGTGACGATGCAGCTTTGAGCACTGGCCAAGCCGGTGTTGGTATTTCCCTGTGTCCCCGGGCTGAAGCTGCTCTGGTTGATTGGATCCCAATCAGTAACCGGATGTGTGCGGTCCGATTGGCTGCCTCCTTCAAAACTTCGAAGTTGCACTGGACTAACAGGTGTCTATTCGTTATCGCTGCTTATGCACCCACAAACTCCAGCGATGATTCGGTAAAAGACGACTTTTACCGCCAACTGAACGTGCTCCTTCGCCACAGCAGACGCTCGGACACTAGTGCTAACTGGGGATCTGAACGCTCGTTGGAAAATTATCCACTGATGAACTGCATCTGGTGCGTCCAACATGACGTAACTTCCCTTAAAGATAACGGTGAGCGGTTACTTCATTCGTGTGAAGAGGCTCACTTATTTTTGCGAGCACTTATTTCCGACAGCACCCGCCGGAGGGTGACTTGGCGCCGCACCAGTCTTGGACGCAAATCGATCACATTGCAACAAGTTACCGCTGGAGTGGCTGCGTCCAGAACCGTCGCTCGATTTGAAGCATATGTGTGGATACCGACCATGCACTTGTATGTGCTGACCTACGGATGCGTTTTGGCGGACCGCCACGACGATGCTGTGAACGCATCGACACCAGCCAACTGACGAAGCCTGTTGTTCTGAACGCATATCAAAGTACGCTGACATGCGAGTTGAATAAGCGCTCACTGGATGCAATTGAGGCTCAATGGTCTCATATGCATCAGACCATACTAGCAGCAGGCAAATCTTCATGTGGTAAGTCTAATCGCCAACATGGACATTGGGTCTCTTCGCAGTGTCAAGAACTTATCGATGCTCGCCGGCATATTCCGGCTGGAAGTGAACACAATGGGACTCGCAAAGAGCTCCGGGCAAAACTCCATGCTAGCCTGAAGAGAGACCGCGAATCTTGGTGGTCTCATTGTGCATCAGAGATGGAAGTGGCCGCTGCCCTTGGTAACCATCGTAAGTTATTCCGGCTGATACGGGAATCGGGCAGCAGGAGACTTGGTGTTAGTGAAACTATACGTGACCAGAGTGGACAGCCTATCCACAACTGGTCAAAACGCTTGGAGCGTTGGGATGAGCATTTTGCAAGGCAGTTTAATCGGTCGGAACTGTCAGATTTCTCACCGGGCAGTGATCACCCTCCTCCCTGGGCTGTCCCTTTGGATCCGCCCTCTCGCTCAGAAGTCGAACGTGAGATCAGACTGTTGAAATCAAATAAAGCCGCGGGACCAGATGATGTTCCTATAGTCCTTTTCAAATTCGGGGGACTTGCTCTTGTGGTTGATTTGCTCGACTTACTCTTGAAACTGGGAGCAGGCAACTGTCCCAACCGACTGGAGCCGCTCCGTCATAGTCCTAATTTTCAAGGGAGGCTCACGATCGGAATGCGGTAACCCTAGAGGAATCAGTCTGATCTCCATCGCCTCCAAATTGCTTGCCTCTGTCATCCTTCGCAGACTGACTGGCACTCGTGAAAGCCAGATTCGTGAAGAGGAAGCCGGGTTTCTTCGAGGTCGTGGCTGCACTGACCACATCTTCACTTTGCGTCAGTTGTTGGGGCACCGTCACATATATTGGCGGCCCACCGTTGTTGTGTTCCTCGATTTCAAAGCTGCATTCGATTCGGTGGATCGGTGTGCCCTTTGGGACTGTCTAGTCAGGAAAGGTGTACCCGAGAACTATGTACATATTATCGGAGCATTATCCGCGCGTAGCTCGGGCAGAGTGGGGGGCTTACGACCAGCTGCCGTCGTCTTTCAATATCTCCAGCGGTGTAAAACAAGGATGCACACTATCACCTTTCCTTTTCAAATTCGCCAATGACGAAGTCATAGAAATCGCGTTCACAGGACACGACTTAGAAGGTGTGGAGCTGCTCCCAGGAGAACGACTTTCTTGACTTGGAGTATTCTGACGCTATTGCTCTAGTTTGTGACAGCCCACAAGCGTGCCAAGCTGCACTGGACAGATTAACACTGGCTGTCCGTCACTTCGGGCTTTGCTTCGCACCCTCGAAGTGCAAAGTGTTCCTCCAAGTTTGGCCTGGACCGCCTCCTTCGCTGACCCTTGGTGGAGATCAGCTAGAAATCGTACAAAAATTCAACTACCTGGGAAGTTGTATCAGCGAACCGCATAGGAAAAGCTCGAGGCGCCTTTGCTAACTTTTGCCACTTATGGCGCCGGCGCGACATCAC